ACAATTGCCTCGTTTTATGTGTGCATGACAAAAAGAGAGCGACACAGAAGGGGGGGGGCAAAGAAAGGGGAGACCAAGTGTGAAAGAGAGGGTGAGCAAAGACACTCAAATTTGAAATGAAAGGCATAACTGAGAGAGAAATGAAGAGAAAATATGCTACATGAATACAAGCGCATCTGCCGTCCCTAATMACTCTGTCTCCATTAATCCTCAATGGATTTTTTTTTTCTCCYGGACCTTTTCTTCCCATCATGTTTGACAACGGGGCAACACTGGTTCTTCTTGTGTATTCACTCTGCTAAGCAGGACTCTGATCTTCACTGACAGCCAATCTGTTTCAACATGGCAAGCTTGAGTAAATAAAAAAAAGGAGGACCCGGATTGTTAATTTGCAAATGATGCAAGTATAGTGAAGATCCTGGACCTAAGTTCTCAGCTAGAAGTGAATAAAAAAAGGCACTTTTGTGCAGTACGTGTGAAAACTCATGCACAAAATGGGTACAAGGACAAGGGAAGGCTCCTTAGCACCCCTCCTCAAATCTTGACAGACAGGTGGGGAAGAAACAAGACAARGACAAATGTCTGGTTCAGGCTCTGCTGACATTTTCCATGGCATTTGGAGAAAACTCTAAGAAAACCAAAAGAAAGGCAGGTAGCCTAAAAATAGTTTAATAGTAGAAACCTGTTCCAGGTTAGAAGCTGAGGTTTAAACAGTGACATGCTTTAAATGTTTTTTTTTTCTTTTTTGGGGGGACTGGCTTCATATCACACATTTCTCCACTTCAAAAACAAAAGAAAACATCAGTTCTATGCATAACAGACTAGGCAGATGAGTCGTGTCTTGTTGGCACAAATAAAGACTTTTTTTGTCTAGTTTTCCTCTAACTAGACTKAAGCAATTTGCTTATGTAGTTCACCCAGATAAATCATACTGTAGGTGAGTCAGGAACACATCGATGTTATAATGAAGTCCAGCAGTAAGGACGTYGTATTCTATGACGTCTTTAAAAAGCCTCTGACATGTAGGTTATTTAAATACAAAAAGTCAAAGAAAATGTCTTTATATTTAAGAAACTTGACATAATACAAACAATTTACCAATTTTGTCAAATAACTGGCAGATTTTCTTTTAAAATTGGCTCAGCCAATACGAAACAGGAAGTGACATCACAGGATTGTTATAGTTTTTGTTCATTGTAACAATATTATTTAAACCTWACTCAGCTTTGTCTCTCAAAGTGACTCAATGACCTAAAGAAACATCAGATTCTTCTCCAGAGTCTGTTGTCGGCCATTGCCGCTATGTTCACATGCAGACATTCCCCTTTGACATCACTTCCTGTTATTTCACATGCAAATATCATAACCATTCATCTCAGCGGCATCTATTTTCTTTTGCAATATATTATCAGTGTTATCTTTCCAAAGATGCATCCATGTTTACTAAAAAATGATATCACGAACACTTTAACACCCATTGTTCGAACTGGTAAATTCAAACAACTGTTGTTTTTTGTTTGTTTCTTTATTTTAATGAGACTTGGCCCGAAACAAAATGCCAGGCTTGGGTTTTTTTAAAAGTGTATGAAATGGTAGTAGCTTTGGTATTTATAAAAGTTTATAATGTAATTTACTCCCTTAAATTTCCCCATTAAACACTTTAAATTAGATAAGTAGTAAAATAAGAATGGTTGATATTTTACTTGAACAAAAGATTACATTTCCTAATTGGGACATGGTAGGTAAAAAGTAATCTAAGCATGCTCACAGATGAGGATTCATTTCTGTGAACGTCTGTGTTGTTCAAATATTTCTACATAATTAGTTGTATTTTTGATTGCAGAAACTAAAGCCTTTTGCTAGAATTTCTCAAGTTCATTAAAAAACATTAAAGTACACGCACAAAGATAGCCTAAATTGCTTGAGTGGAAAAAAAATATCCTCAGCTGACTATGAACTGAAAAATAATCTCAAAATATGTGATTTTCAAAATATTTTGCCTCAAAACAATTCCAGACATAAAATGCAGCCAAACTGTCTCTTTTGTCAGAAATAAACAGGGAAAGAAATGGCGTTTATCGCAAGTAATTTATTGTTGAAAATGTTGTGGTAAGAGGAAGTTAGCTATGGCCCATGTCATTCTTTTTAGCCCACAAGAGACTCCAGAGAATTTAAATGGGCAGTTTTACTCAAAAGGCCATTTAGGGAAAACTTAACAGATGCTTAGAAGTGTTTGGTGGTCATACATCACGTAAGTGAGACCATGAYGCAACAGTGTAGTTTAAAATGTAATATTTTGTACATTTTGTTAAGAATTTAACAAGATCATCAACAGAAACAAACATCTTGCAGCAGCAGAAAAACTCCTGAACTTTTACCATGTATGTAAGGCTTGTGACTTGTGTGCAGCAGTCATTGATTGTGGTTTCCTCTAAACTAACCTCTCCACTGATTTCAGACCCAGCTTCATTTTAGTGAACAAATCAAAATCTGCAGGGAAACAGTTTTGTTTTATTTATTCTTTCCCCCCAAACTACTTTTTAAAGTGTGAATTGCAAAAGTCGACATATGCAGACTGTGGTCACCTTCACTGAGAGCAACCAACTGTTATTTGACACGCCATTGATCACACTGATGTATCATATCAGCGTCTGATTTGAGGGTTTAACACTTCTGCAGGCACAGTGAGATCTGCCAGCTGGCTGCAACAGAGGCCATTTGGAAGGTGCTTCTAGTACAAACACCTGTGAAAGCTAAAAATGTCTTGGAGAGGGACACTTCTGAAAAAATGCTTCTCCAATTATTTCTTCCTTTATGGAGTCTAAGGGCACTCCCGCTAATCCTTCATCTAGTTTGATTTCCGTAGCAAGGAGGGACAAAAATGTAGAACAGCCAATTTGGGCGCTGATTTGTGATGTTCATCCAGCAAGTGATGGGGATTCACGGCAAAAGTTGGCCTGGAGTAAAATGCAAAGAAGGAAAAATGGACGAATATTGATTTCCGTGTTTGAATGAAGCTGGCAGAATGACAGATGAATAAACAGAGAAAAGGGGGAAGAGAGGCAGAGACTGCCGGAGCTTTTTGGGAAATGCCCAACCTCCAACAATACAGACCTCATAAAATAAATGACTCACTTACTCCACAAATCTGCTTTTAGTGAATGCTGTGGGCCAACTGACCAAAACTTGCTCACAAACCCACACACGAGCAGACACAGACAGTAACGCACATAAATCTGCATTTCGGCATGGGCCGTGTGTCTGGCAGCAGGTTAATGTGAGTGGGAAAGTTTCTATCTCTTTACTTTGATCACAACCACTAAAAAAACTTTAGTCTGATACACTCACCAAGCACAAACAGAAAAGTATGTCTTCTAAAGCATGCCGGTCATTGGGTCTTGTTTTAATTTAACTTCCAACCTAATACATGATGAAAAATGACAYAACTAATCTTATAAAGACAAATAACACAAAATTAAATTAAAATTAATATTTCCATTCCTTGCAACCTACATTTTATGCAATTCATTGGGCAAAATATTTTAAGAAATACTCCTCATTACTTCAGTAAGAGCCACAGGGACATTCGTAATTCAATTGTAAAACAACAAAAACACCTTTTTTTCTGTCAACAGGTGAGCAAATAACATCAAAATTAAATCACAAATGTTATGAGTTAAAGGGACAATATCATGTAAAATCAACTTTTTTGAGTTTTACATCATGTTATAATGTTATACTCTCATAAAAAACATGCCCAAAGCCTTGCTTTGACTCATTCATGCATGTTTGAGAAATCCTGCAGCATTTTTAGGAAGCCATGCTGAGGAGCAAAACGACAGGTGGGGACTAGAAACGCCCCTGGGACGTGTCTTTAAGCCGAACTTCCTCATTGCGGAGCGCCTCCACTCCCCCCTCCCCACATACCCCGCCCATGACTCCTGCAGGCTCTCGGGTGAAAGTGAAAGTGAAACTTAAACTGTCTGCTGAGCTCCTAACATTAGTTCTCACTCAGTGAAGCTCTTTTCAGATTAAAAATACCTTTGAGGAAATGTATTTTCAGATGCCAAGTAAACTGCAGCATAGCAAGCACGACCACCCCTGCACTGAAATGGGCGAGACAGAAGCGGATGGTGGTTCTTAAAGAGACAGAGGCCAATTTCAAGGCGTTTAGAAGAGGAAGTGATGAGAAGATACGTTTATTTTCTATTTAAACATAAAAACAGCATTTTATAACATCTAAAGGTGACAGATACTTTATTATGGTATAGTATTTAAATGTATGCCTGAGAAACACATAATATTGCCCCCTTAAATAAAAAAAATGTTTAACTTTGAATGAGCTTTTGAAATATCAGCTAATATTCCACTTTGATCATTACTGGTCACCCTCATTTTCAAACACTGAGGTTTAAAAGAAACCACACAAACACAACGCCACACTGGCATCCTATCATCGCTGGAGGAGGAAACAGAGACATAACAGCGCCAAGACTGCCCACCTGCAGCACATCACTTCTTCTCTCCCCAAGAAATGACAGCAACCAAAAAATGGGCCTCCTACTGTCACAGCCTCCCCATTGGACTGTGACGATGGGAAGTCAGCGATTGGTCGTTATTTCTCGCTTTCAGTCTTTGAAATGCAGTTTTCTGTTATTACTGAGGACAATGGTGGCCACCAGATGATACTTTTTTTTCATTTGTTTAGTCGTTTCTTTTTTTTAAACATAAGAGTAAAGAATATAGGAAAGAAGAGGAAAGGCAGGAACAAAAATGGCTGATGCGCTTTACCGCCCACAGAGCTCTATCGCTTCAATAGCTTCTAGTTGGGGGACAAATTGATCCTGGAAATAAGGGGTCATTTCCTCCGCCTGTTTACCTGTTCACAGCACACTGTCATCAGTCTGGAACAGACACAGGCTGACCCAGCTCTACCCTCTGAGAGCTAATGTAGGAAGGGYTGAGTCATTCTGTGACAATAAGCAAGCAGCGAGTGGGTATGCATGTGTGTGTGTTGAGTTCCCCAACAGCAGTGACCCTGATGAACTGACGACCTTTTAAACTTTGAGGTAAATAAACCAGTTTCCAGTCTCCTGTCTTCTTTCCGGGGCAGCACGCTGACAGTCTGTGCATCACAGAAAGTCTTCATAAAGCCCTCAGCTTAAACTTTTTGGTGGGTTCAAATGGAACACGTGAGTTAATTTATATCCGTGCTGGCATTTTAACTAAAAGCAGTTTATTTAAGCTTTACTGATTTGGATTTAGAAACACTACTATTAAGGTTATCTACCATATTTTCCAGACTTTGGCTGGTACTCTGAAGTGTCTTATCTATGTTTTTTTTTTTTCCTCTTCATGGTATTTTTTCGTACTGACTGGCATAAAGCAAGGAGTAAACATGACAGTCTGCAGCAGTGGGAGGGCGCTCAAGCCTTTTGATAACTATAGTTTATGTTGTTCTGCCACCAGTTTRAAAMAATGAGCAGAAGAAGTTTGGAATGAGAAACTTGTGAGGGACTTGTTGAAAAGCAGAAGTTATTCTAATTGCTCTGAAGAAAATGAAGAAAGCTAATCGCGTGATGTGAAATAAGATCGGTGAACTTACTAGCTTGTTGGAAGGCCTGGCTGGTTGTGTTTGCAYTGAGCAGAGAGCCGCCTCACTGTTAGYGCTGGCAGGGATCAAAATATYTCAAAAGCGCAAATCTTACTTGGTTTATTTGTGACACAATGATATTGGACTACACCAAACTGGAAGGAAAAATACCAAAAACCGTACCAAACCATCCAGCAGTATGAGGCTAATGACACGAGGGCAAGACAACACAGAGGACGATAAGCCAATAATGTTAGCTTGTTGTTGGTAACTTGTTTTTAGTATCTTGCTGTGGATGTTGTTTAGTTGAACTTGAACTCATGTGGGAAAAAAAAGATGTTAGTTGTTGCAAACAATTCACGTAAAATTACTCTCTTCTGGTTAAATAAAGTTATTCGACATCCCAGGAGGTGTGTTATATATACAAGCATTTTAATTTGGCAGTTTTATTACATTTGGGTAAGTGTGCAAATGGCCTTCTGGTAGTGTCAACAAAAAATTGTGTCCCATCCCGGCTCCAGACTCTTCTGGGCCATCTTGTCGTAAAWCAGTCAAGCACACAGGTCACCTGAAGCCAACTTTTGCTCAGTTATAGGGCTGCAACGATTAATCGACGACTAATCGATTATTAAAATAATTGATGACTAATTTAATAATCGATTAATCGTTTTCTTTTTTTTTTTCTTTACTTTGTTTTTCTCTCCAAACTGCTTTGACACCTTCCACTGCCACATCTGCCTTTCTGTCCTTGACACACATGCACAGTAGTGGTAAAGAGAAACCTGTGCAATATCTGCAAGGCAGAACTTGCCTTCCACAGCAATTATTTTTAGTT